CAAGAAAAGTCTTGTTTGCATCCCATCCATCAGTAAAACATCACTCCATTACAGTCTTAGGACCACAGAGAAGTGCTGTTGCATTGTGGGCCCGCCTCCCCAGTTGTGATTGTTCTGGTCTATTTTAGACAGTAGAGTATTTAGCCTAACCAGACTGAGTCACACCCCATGTAAGTCAGTCAGTCTGGCCAGGCTGATACTGTGTTAGCCCAGCCCCTAGACGCCTCTGTGTGTAGATTAGTTCAAGCTGTGTTTTCAGGCTTAGACCTCCGCTTCAGGATATTCCCCAAACTCCTGAACAGGTTTTGCTTCATAATCCTCCCAAGGCCTCATTTTCACTGTTGCTTGTTCTTCCTTTTATCACCACCTTTTTTCTTTCACTCAACTTTCCATTATTATGTCCTAATAGAACAGGTGAACAACCATTCACTTGTGGTACCTTATTTGTGATTAGCGTCGATGACCAACCTCCTTCGCAAAACATGTTCACCATAAACCTGCAAAGTTAAGCTGCCTCTGTCTATTCATATATCACATGTAGATATGTTGATAACCGACAGAGCTGAGGGCTCTCAGAAATGATGCAATCGGTTTGTGGTGCTGCATGTGGTGTCAGCATTACACAAAATGTTCATGTCTGAAGTCTCCCCTACCTCTATTTTCAAAATGACAGCATCAAGCAAACTAAGTATCCCGATCCCTTTGGCTGAGACAATGCTTCAAATGTAGGTAGTATATATACTGTATGTATATTCTTACTCTTCCTACCATGGCGAGAGGCTGTGGTTGTTTGCTGGTAACTGTCAAGTCAGCAGAGTACCCCAAGGCTGTGTTGATCAACAATGTATGTAAGATGAATGATTTTTTGTATTTCAATTTTCTAAGAAACTGAATTTTGGGTTTTGTGAGCTGTAAGTCATAACCCTCACAATAACTGGAATAAACAAATCATCGGATATATTCTAATTAACTGAGTTGTAACTGAAATGTGACACTGATCCATAAAATTTATGATAGGAATTCCAAACTGCTTTATGTACATTGTGTGATGAACTACAAGGTGAATGTAAGATGACAGTGTTTGGAGAAGGGCTTGAATATCATTTTCCTCATGTCTGTTTGATTGAATGGCAGAAGCAGAAGACAGACTGTGAAGCCTAGTTTAATTTGCTATTACCTCAGTTTTATCATTAAAGTGTTAGAAACATTATGTAATAAGGATGAAACCATATCTCTACTCTGTTGGATCTGCTATCCATCTTCCTCTCCTACATAACAACTGTCCTTCTCTCACTCATGTCCAATCTCATGTAATTAAATTTGGCACAAATCTAATAGAGAAGATTTGTGTAAGGTGGTATTGACATCATTTAGACCATGCTATTCTAGCTACTCAGAGTTCAGTCCTCAACCTCCAAAATCAGACACTCTGTCTCCTGCATGGATATCACATAACGTCACATCATGTCTGGTTGTGCTTCATATGGAGCCTTTAGAACCACATTATCCCATCTTTAACATCAATGCAAACAGTATTCCTCTAGTTTGGGGATTAAAGCAAGACATATAATCCTAACACAAAATCGTACACATTAGCATTGAGATTTTTCATTTACTTTAATTTACTAAACAGGCTTATTTCTTTTAACATGGTGAGATGTTACTGTTTGTATTGGAGAGTACAGTTTGTGAATTGTCTAATTAACATTATTACAATATCAGCATATTTTTTTACTCTTGTGTAGTACAAATACAGTGAGAAAAATAGGTATTTGAACACCCTGTACATTTCTCTCACTTAGAAATCATGAAGAGGTCTGAGATTGTCATTGTAGCTTATTGTCCATTGTGAGAGGCATAATTTTAACTATTTATTTGTGTGATACAGCTGCAAATAAGCATTTTAACACCTGAGAAAATCAATGTTAATATCTGGTACAGTAGCTGTTGTTTGCAATTACAGAGGTCAAACATTTCCTATAGTTTTTCATCAGGTTTGCACACACAACAGGAGGGATTTTGGCCCACTCCTCCAGACAGATAGTCTCTAGATCAGTCAGGTTTCCGTGCTGTCGCTGAGAAACACAGAGTTTGAGCCCCCTCCAAAGATTCTGTATTGGGTTTAAGTCTGAAGACTGGCTAGGCCATGACAGAACCTTGATATGCCTCTTACAGAGCCACTCCTTGGTTATCCTGGCTGTCTGCTCAGGGTCATTGTCATGTTGGAAGTCCCACCCTCAACTCATCTTCAATGCTCTAACTGAGGGAAGGAGGTTGTTCCCCAAAATCTCACAATACATGGCGCTGTTATCCCCTCCTTAATACAGTGCAGTCCTGTCCCATATGCAGAAAAACACTTATCAAATTTTTTCGGTCATAGCACCTTGATTCATATGTCATAGCTAATATACACAATGGTTGAAATAAGAATCATTTACTTTTCCATTGAGTTCCGTCCCAGTGTTCACGGGGATGGACGCCTGTGTCTTCGACAGGCGTAGAGCTAACCGAGCTGCCAGCGTTGTGAGGCAAGGGCTCAAACACGTACGACTGTAAGCCTTCTACACCAAACCAAGCTTCTGCCGCCTTGGCGTCCTCTTCCACAACAACTTTGTCCCTGCTTTCCTCCTCTAAATAAAAAATATATGACGGAGGAGACTGATCCACGTCCTTCGACACAAAACTCTCCTCCTCTTGCATGTTTCTGCTGTCCATAGCGTTCCTTGACAGCGTTGTTGCTACGTGCTACTTGGTCCCAATGTAATTTCCCTTTGGGAACCTGCTAGCACTAAGTTGCTAACTGGTTAGCAAAATGCTTCTGAGAAACTGGCCACAACCAGACTTGCTTGTGAACCTTCCGCCACAACAATCCCGCCCACTTGATAAACGACCAATCACATTCACTTTTTTCACTCGTATAAAGTCAGGCACCACTCGGGAGAATTCGGAACTGCCAACTGTTGGAACAGGCCGCTTCCATACGACTTTAAGCAGGGGAACCTGTCATGTCATGCATGATTTCAAACCCTGAAGTCTTAGTGTATTACCAACAATAACCTTGGAAATGGTGGTCCCAGCTCTTTTCAGCTAATTGACCAGCTCCTCCTGTGTAGTTCTGAGCTGATTTCTCACCTTTCTTAGGATCATTGAGATCCCCCGAGGTAAGATCTTGCATGGAGCCCCAGTCCGAAGGAGATTCACAGTCATGTTTAGCTTCTTCCATTTTCTAATGATTGCTCCAATGGTGGACCTTTTTTCACAAAGCTGCTGGGCAAAATTCCCATTGCTCTTTCCAGCCTTGTGGAGGTGTACAATTTTGTCTCTATTGTCTTTGGACAGCTATTTGGTCTTGGCCATGTTAGTAGTTGGATTCATACTAATTGTATGGGGTGGACAGGTGTCTTTATAAGGGCTGGGTATTTTATTCCGATTCCGATTAATACAGCTCAGAATCAGATAATTTCAATTCGATCTGCTTTTACAATAATGAAAGTGGCTCAACAGTGTGTAAATTGCACATGTATTTCATTTTTTCCTTCACATTAAACACAAAGTACAGACTTGTAAACCGGACAGTTTAAACTTTGGATGTACAAAAAAAATAAACAAAAATAATTTTACAAATAAAAGTATTGCAAATGAAAAAAAATTTAACTACTACACTGCAATTTGCATAAAGGTATTTTCTTTTTTTAAGGGCCAAAAAATACTGGCAAATAAACACAAAGTAAAGTTAAACTTGGGTCAGATGCTGTCAGACTTCAGAATAGGACTGGAGACTGGACCACCTGCATTTGGATTACAGGCTTAGCACAATCTCACCACAACAAAACCATCGAGAAAAAAAGTTGTTTTATTTCCTATAATGCTTAACTTGGACTTCAGAGGCCAATCATCTGCTCATCTGCACAACAACCAACAACTTCAGTGTATGAACCTATTGCCATTAAAACTGTTAGCTCAAGAAGAACTATTCACACTCTGGTGACCTACTGTAACAGGAGTGATTGCATGATCATACAAAGGATCCTGCATCAATCTCTGACATAACTATTACTCTTAATTAGGTTAGAGTCAAATGTTGGACTGAAACTTAAGAGCTTTTTCATTCAAGAAGAATTTGAAAAAAAAAGTGCAAATTTGTATAAATAAAAGTATTGCAAATTAGTAAACTTTACCTACAACACTGCAATTTGCATAAAGGCATTTTCTCTAACTAACTATGAGATTCTTGTGAATGAAAATAAGTTTTTTGACATGATCTGTGCTTAGGCAGCTCCCTTTGCATTAACAATGTCACCAGCTGTTGAAAATACCCTCTCCGATGCAATACTGGTCCCTGGGACACAAAGATAATGTTTAGCAAGGCGAGCCAACAGTAGATACTCCCTTTCATTTGACTTCCACCAGTTTGCATGCACCTATGAGGACAATTTCAAACCCCTCCATGATTTCTAATTGGGACAACTTGGAAAATAGCAGAGTTTAACAGAAAAATGCTTATTTTCCTCACTGTAAATGATATTAAGCAGAATTTCAGTACGATCAGCTGAGTGAATCTAGATTAGCGAGGACAACAAATCTTAGCAGGAGTTCAAGTAATGTTTTTTTCTGTCCTTGCTGCAGCATATTTAAGAAACACTTTAAACATGCTATACACAGTTTTTCAAAATGCCCGACCATGGCAGCCTGGTTTATCTGGTAATTGTGCTTCTCAAGACTGTCAACTTGTCCTAAGGTAGATGCCCTTCTACACCACAGAAACAAACACATAGTGTGATAAGGATATAAATGTAAAAATGTCTTGCTATGTTTCGACTGATGAGAGGACAGTAAAGTTCTAAATATATGTCCTTTCTCAGAGCAGGAAAACAAGTCATGTCTTGACCCAACCTTTTTCAGATGCAGACCTGCGTACAGATGTGATTGCTGCCTGATTGAGAGATTGCCATTTAAAAATCTAATCTTGTTTCTGTCGTCTTCTTTGTTTTCTCTTGCAGTTCCGCCTAAGATATATGACATTTCCTCTGACATCACAGTAAATGAGGGCAGCAACGTGTCGCTCATCTGCACAGCCACTGGGAAACCTGAGCCTACCATTTCTTGGAGACACATAACCCCATTAGGTGAGTTCATTCCAACCGGATGGATGAATGGATGGATTGATGATGATGGATGCATGGATGGATGGATGGATGAATGGATGGATGATATGCAGTGAGAAATGTGATTCAAAAAAATCTCTTTTCTTCAAGGTTGAACTTGTTAACAAATATAGTATTAAAATATTAGATTCAGATATTCATCTTTTTTCAAGAAAGTGTTCTGAAAAGAAGAATTGCTGAGGAGCATTTCTTTAATATGAAATAAACATTTGTATGAGTGCCGGGTAGTTGAAGATTAATATGCTATGCAGAAGGCAAATGATAATTAAGTGTGCATTACAAATTGTATCTATATTAAAATTATCGCCAGGCACACACACTTAATTAATTTCTTTAAATCCTGACTCTTGCTTTGAAAACTCATTCCAAGCATAACTCTTACTCTAAATCCCAGACCAAGTCCCTTTTAGTCCTTCCTCATTTTCATATTAATGGATTAAAGCATGCAGTGCTTATCTGATAGCTGTGAGGATGACGGCATTTATCTTATAGCTGTCAAATCCCCCCCTCTCCTGTGCTCTGGCCCTGATTGCGTTAAGGGAGTTTTCAAAAGATGATCAAAAGAGCCATCCTCAGAGTCCAAGTGGCAGTCACTCATTTTACTTTGAAGTGTCCACACTTCAAAGTATGCCAGGGAAGGAAATGATATGCTGGTCAAATGAAAGTACCCACAACGAAATGTAATCACAGAGTGTCTCCCAGCACATCAGAAGAGAAGCCTTTTGCCATGAGGTGTCTAAATCAGCTGAAGTAAGGGTGAATCTTATGAAAGACATGATACAACTGCAAGGTTGTAATAGGCTAATTAGCCATCCATGGAAATACATAAAGTCCCTTGGATATGCAAAACAGGCCACCCCAACCAGTGTTCATGACTGCAGCGAGAATATGCAATCATATCATAAACAAAAGCGTATTGTTTTCTTTAAGTCGATAATGATCAATCAAATAATAATATACCACAAGTAACCTAAGGTGAAGTAAAGGTGATCGTCTTTAAATACCAGTATTTATTTCTAGGGTATGAATTGGATCCTTAAGTGTTTCTTAAACTCAGACACATTAGGATTTTACAGTTAAAAATACATGGTGATTTGCAGTATTTTGCAGATCTCATTAATGGAATAAATCTCTTTTGGCCAACAAGTTAAATTTTTTTTTTCCCCCTTAACAAAAATGTGTCCCTCTGTATGGGGTAGAGCAGATACTGTAAAAGACCACTCATTAAATTGCATGCCATTCAAAGAAAAGTGTTTAGAAAGCAGGAAAGCAAGTTTGTATGTGTTGTACACACTTATTTTTTTTTTATTTTCTTTAGGCTCGAATATTAACAAATCACATCAACAAAGAGGAAAGGGTGCTTTCTGTGGAACTATGACAGACTGTCATCTGGGCTTCCTCCTCAGCACATTTCAGCACAGATGCTGGTTAAGCTGAAATTTTTAGAATTACAATGGAAATATGCCAATACCCTGACTTTCAGTTAGTGTAAGAACTGTGTTTGTAAACATGTTTACCTCTTTATTTGCATATATACACGATGGGAGCGCCGTGAAGACGTTTACGCCTTGCTGTTAAGACTGTCATCGACACCCCAAGTCAGGTGAACATGCTACAGCCCTGACAGGAGAGAGCAAGCTTAAAAAATAAGTAGATAAATAAAATATTGCTTTCTCAGACACTGGGTACATGGAGACTTTTAGAATTATGATGGAAATATGTCGATACCCTGATTAAATAAGAGAAACAGCTATGGACACTGTGTTTATGAACACATTACCTCCTAACTTTCTTTGGGACTTCCATCTGAGACACAAAATAATCCTGTTTTTGGGACAGATTAGCCAGACAACTGAGGTTAGATGAGACTGCTTTCTAGAGTGGATTTTTTATTGTTTTCTTTGCAGATGTGGCGTCACTCTTGCTTCGCTGTAATCGCCAAAAACGTGCCTTTTGCCTCAGTAGAATCACAACATTCGATTCACTGCGCTCCTGAGCCAAGATCGGTATAACATGTAAACTGATCACTCTGGGTGCAAAAAATCGCCGTCTGTGTGATCGGACCTTAAAGGAATAGTGGAGGGTGTTCTTGTTCCGGGTGGATCATCCAAATAAATGGTCTTCCTCTTTGTCAGTCATTCTGGTGATGTGTTTACGTAAGGATAGCTGTTCAATTTTGTTTTTGACGTTTTTGAAGCGGAGTAGATCTGCTGTAGATAAAGAACAATGTCAGGAAAAAATATTTAGATGTAATGGATATTTAGAAAAACTGTAGCTCAGTTACTTTACAACTACATTTTTCCACATGGCTACTGTAGTTTAATGCTTGTTTTTTATGGTAAAGCGCCTTATATTGTAGTGTTAGACCTGTGCTAGGTGTTGTACAAATACAATTAAACAACTTACTGACATATTTGAAGCTACCAATATAGTTACTTTATTGCCAGTAATAATTTAGACTTAAGCTGATTTGAATGCAGTTAAAACACGGCACATTCCAGATTGTGATTGTTAAGTCATGCACAGTAAAGAAGTATAAATGGTCCAATCAGTGTTTTTTTTTTTGTTGATTGTACTACGGTAATTTTAATAGCCCTGACTTGATATACCCCCATCAAAATGTTTTATAATGAAAATCTAAATGAAATGTGAAATAGGTGAAATCATGCATAAAATTTTATTATTCAAAATCCCCTTTTTTGTCTATTAAGAACATTAGCTGCAGACCAACCTTAATCTTCAGAATAGCTAGGACTGACTATTTTTCAATGTAATACGTTTGATTTATAGGGAGATTAAAAAGACATTAAACAAGCCACAATGTCTTCCACACATGGCAATAAAAAGAAGAAGCACTCAAAATAATATAAAGACAATGGTTATTTAATATGTTTTAATTAGGATAAATATAGTTCAATTAGTTGATGCTTATATCTGAAATTATAGGGAAATATTTGTATTTAACAACAGCAGTTTTGGTATATTTTAAATTATATCCAAGGTGGAAATTGTATGTATTTGAAAGCTCTGTTTATATAACATATTTAAACAACATATTGGGTGCTGAATGTTTTGGGAAAAACTGTTTTTGGGGCAATTGAGGTTCTACAGCTGTATGTTGTTTTCATTCATGCCTGATCACCTCCAGCCCAGATCCTGTGTTCAGGTATGACAGTGAGAAGGAACTCATGTCAAGCAAGAGCAAGTTAGAAACAGCCAGAAACCGTTTACCAGTCAGAAACTGTTCAGAATATCTTATTAAAACTTCATCTTTCAAATATACAAAACATGTCTCTGACAGGAAGTGCTAGGTTTGTTAACAGAGGGCACAGAGATGAGAGAGGTCTGTTTGTTGGTGCAAGTGGACTGGAGAGAGAGCTGAAGGTAGGGTTTGCCTGCAGCTGCAGTTAGGGCTGGGCAATAAACTGGATTTTTACTGTTACCGTCATTTACTACGATAACCTGCGCAAATTTTACCATGTTGGTTAATTCGGTAAATAATTCTGCTGTTTTGCCTGTGTGCGCTAGTGTCTGGTATTTCCTTCCCCTTACTGCAGCAGGTGTGTAATCATGTGACTCATTATATGAATAAAGAGAATGGTGGATGAGCCGAGTGATGAAGCGTCCAGCACAGCTGTAAACGAAATTACATCAGTTAATCCTATGGAGCTGAGCAAGAGCAGAGATGAAGCTGAGCACGCAGAGGAGAAGTCAAGAACGCGTTGTCAGAGTCGAGTGCTCGGCAGACCGATTTTGAGCGAGGGTGTGCGAGTTTAAACGATGCACATTGTTCTCACTGCACGCTCAGTTCGACGGCACCAAAATTACGCCATAGACGTTGAGCAATTGAACACGAAATTCAAAGTTTGTCTTAAAATTGTCGGGAATACTCAAAGTAACACATCCAACCTCCACCGCATACAGCAGCCACGCTGTTGAGTTCAAAGATGTGCAAAAGGCTCCATTACCAAAAATTTTTACAAAAGAGGAAACATCTTTCTCCTGTTCAATGAGACATTGTTCAATGTTTAAAATTGAATGGGTACAAGACTTTAATATTTAATGTAATGTGATGGGCTGCTCACTGGCACAGTGTATAGCACTGCTGCCTTGCAGCAAGAAGGTGCCGGGTTTAATTCCCGGCCTGGGGTCTTTCTGCATAGAGTTTGCATGTTCTCCCTGTGCATGCGTGGGTTCTCTCCGGGTACCCCAAAAACATAACTGTTAGGTTAACCGGCTTCTCTAATCCTCCTTAGGTGTAGCATTTCCTGCGCATGTCTTTATTTCTGATAGAGAAGCTGAGGTAATTGTCGTGCATCTATCTTTATATTGAGTTTGGGTCATATCGCCCATCTCTACCTGCAGGCATGTTCCTCAGTGGCAATTTCGGTACAGTATCCATATATTGAGATGCCCCCTGACACAGAGGTTCAGGCTGTAATACCTGTAGTTCACTAGTATTCAGTATTTTGTACCTTACAGGACTGCGGAGTGAGGTTTCTTCTCCACATCTATATGGACAAATAGGAATTTACAAAAAAAAGGTTTGAAATTATGAAAACAATATTAAGCCTCTTTTGCAGATAAATAGAACTTAGGAGATCTGGGCCCAAGGTTGAGGCTCAGCCTAGAGTGGTGTTAAGCAGGTGCAATGCCTGAAAAGTGGAAAACGTGTCCGTCTGGCAGGTTTTATGTTTTTAGTCTCATTCACTTTAACAATCAACCATTTTTAGATGGGGGTGGGGTTTTTTTTTTACTTTTTTTTTTCCACTGTAGATGGTCCCACTGCTGCAGCCAGTGAAGTTTGACAGGATGATAAATTGCCCTGACTGACTGTCAAGTTCTTTTTCCCACTCCGACTGTTTTGTGTTTGCATTTTTCACTCTCGCCTTCCTGCCAACTACCAAACTGCCAGCTAATAATAAACTTTGTGCATCCAGTGAAGTGTGCCCATAAACTGT